TTTCTGGACCATTACAACTGATGGCACAGTCCTTGTGGATTTTGATGGTGCAGAATCAAGCAGATTGCAGGTCAAGTGGTGCAGAATCAGAGGATCATACCCTTTTAAGTACACTGAAACCTTTCTGTGTTATTGACCTAGAAATCAAATGCTGTGTACCTGTTACTGCGCTGAAGAATGGGGGGGGGTGGGCGGTGCTTTTAAAATGTGCAGAGTGACTCGGGGAAAACTGGTTGGTTTTTCCAAGATGGCTGTGTTTAAAACTTTGAGTTGATTTAAAAATTTGCAGTAAAGGAGTACCAATGATATTTGTTTTATATAAGTGTTGGTTTCTTGGTGTTGATGCATGAGAGCAGATCTGCGGACTTCAGCATGCTGAATTTGGCTCAGCACTGCAGAAGCAGGAGGATGCAAATTGTGTTCCTGTACCTGTATCATGTTCTTATGGTGGCAGCTCCGTAAAGGCAGCTGTTTGTGCTCTGTTCAGAGCATAAACTGAAGCACAGGCTGGCAGTAAGAACAACGCTGTTCTCCACAAGCAGACAATTAAAAATTCTAGTCAGAGTAAGAGCAAAGTTAATGAAGGAGGCTTGGAGAATGTGCAAGATCAGGGCACCTGGGTTTCTGTGACCCTGTCCTCTATTCAGCTGAATTTGTCTTTGAATGGACACCTAGCCTCTGATCTTTGAAGCAGTAATTTGTCAGTAGAGTAAAATACGTTTATTAGTTTTGCAATAGGCAGAGTAAATTTCTACTGCTGCTTGTAACAAGCCAAATGCATCTTGAACTTGCCTTGTTTTTCTGCCACTGCAGCCACTGGAAGCAAAACGTTCCATGTATTTTCAAGGCTAGACTGCCTTCCTGTGATACTCTGCCAAAAAGAGTAAAAGCAGGTGAAACCTCAAGATGTGCCTTTGTTAAATTCAGTGTTTTCTAATGACTCTGAGAAGCAGTGTATCACTGCTGTCGGGGTGGATTGCAGAAGCTCTCTTTATCTGCGGCTTCTGAATAATGAAAGCAGAGGGAGAAATTCTTTTTTTTCCGTAGAAGCACAGCACTTGCTTGGATCCAATGACGAGTTACAGATGCTTCAGCAGAAAGGAAACAAACCATGGAAGTAGCTACAGCTTAATTAAACCTTATGGTTTAATAATAGTGTCTGATGTTTAGTTTTAAGCTTTCAGTAGTGTGATTTAACATTTCTTTGCATATGCTGATTGACATTAATTTTATTCTCAATATCTACATAGGCATTTTAAAACATGGCATGTTCCTATTGTTGGTAGTGAATATACAGTGTATCAAAAGAAGGTGTCCCTGCCCATGGCAGGGGGCTTGGAACAAAATGATCTTTAAGGTCTCTTCCAACCCTAGCCATTCTATGATTCTATGATTTGTCACCTTCCAAGAAAACTTGTATTTAAAACAGCGTAGTAAGTCTAGGGGTTTTTTATGCAGAGAGGTGAAGATAATTGTCCAAATGTCTTTTAGAACAAGCTGTATTTGTTAATAGCAAAGTTTCTGATGTTTACATTGGGAAATTGAGTGTACTTCCAGTGAATTTAAAGTGGGATTATTTCTCTACTGAAATAACAGGGCTGGTGGACTACCACATGTAATACAACTGATTACGTATAGCACCTCTTGCAAGGCAGCATGGATCTGACTCACTTAAAAAGACACAAGGACTGTCAGCTGATTTAATCTTTTTTTTTTATTCGAGCTTTATTTACTTATCCTCAAAACTGTACAGAATTGTTCTTAAATTTTGTGGTGGTGTTATTGGCAGAAATGAAGAGTTCATTATTCAAGTCGACTAAGCTAAGCAACATAAAGTAAACATGTATTTCCAGCACTTACTTTACAGTGAATGTGTGAAACTTGTATCAAATAAGTCTGAGCGGTCAGGTTTTCTGCTCTGCTTCCTTTCTGAAGACAGAGCTCTGGGCACCCAAACATCCAGGAATCCTGGGTGCTGCCATGTGATGTTCTGGAGACTGAGTAAAACCCCAGACAGGATGCTGAAAGTCAGAGAATTCAATCTTAGATTTTTCCCTGGGTCTGTTTCATTCCCAGTTATGCTGATGAGCTTGTATGGAAAGCAAATTCCTTTGAACATTGCTAGTATAGTTGATATTTGTAGAATTGGTAATTCTTATCTTGTGTTTTGAGAAGAAGGTATGGCGGTGGTGTATGGAGAAGCATAGCTGATGTTTAAGGAGCTGACTGTTGATTGGTTCCTGGCACACACATTTTCATCCATGCAAGAAAAGTTCACTGATGATTATTGAACACGAGGATGCCACCTTGGTTCAGAAATCCCTGAACTACAGGCTGCTGGAAGCCAGTAGGATGCACTCAGCTGAGTTCACTGTGTGCTTGTCCTGTTCTTATGCTCTTCCTTAGAATGTATTATTGGAAACAAGCTTCTCTACTTGACCCTGGTGTACCCAGAAATATCTTATGTTTTCCATGTCTTTGCATAGGTGACCGACAAGCTTAAACCCTTCCCTTTTGTGTTTGTGCTTACTCTGATGTAGGTTTTTTTAATTAAAACAAATCTGTTTCTAAAATCTCACATAACTTTGTTTCTCCTTATGAAATTGTACACCACAGCATTCCTGTAAAAACTGACAAACTGAAAATTCATAATGCAAAGCCTCATAGCAAAAAGTATGTTTTTCTATGTTTTTATTTATTGTATTGGTATAATTCTTTCAAAATAATAACTATTTTTATGTTGACTTTAAAACTTAAACCATTCTCCATCAGTTTGTTTTTACAGTGATGTTAAAATACTTAATCTCTTACAGATGCTGATTACTGTTTAAATAAAATATCTGAATGATGAGATAATATCATTATATACCTTTTAGACAAAATAAAGGAATGTATAGGTCTTTTAAAATGTTCAAGTGTGCCAGATAACCATGCTGGTTTATAGCTTTATTAGGTGAGTATAACAAAGATTACCCATTTCCCTTTCTTATTCCTTTATGACTTAAGAAAAATTGTTGAACTTCAGAATTGAAGATAGATATGGAATTATTTAAAGAAAGACTGTCTTCTCTATTAGAGAATGTGGAAACAAATGAAAAGGGTAGGATACGATGTTGCAATTGTTGTTCTAAGTTACTTCCTCCATAGGCTTAGAGTTTTTTTTTTTCAGGGTCATACAACTCTTACACAAAAGCATGATTTTCTTTAAAAAAATAAAGATGTAGATGTTAATTGTATGCAATGTACATAACCATAAAAATGTATATGCTAAACTTATTCTGATAATATCCATGCTTTTCTAAAGTGCCATCTGTCTTAAAATTGTGGGGTAGCTCATATACAAGTCGTATACCAGTGATGTATTTTTTGGGCAATTTGATCTTTTGGTGATACTACTTTGGGGGTTTTTTGGTCCTCTTGTTTAGGCTGAAGTTACTCCTTTAAGGGAATTCTTTTAATATGTGCATCTGTTAATTGTTCTTGTTATTACTATGCCAGCTGTTGTGTGTCTCCTGCTAGCCAGTGATTTCTAACACATGAGGAGTAATGGACTTCTAGCCTCTGTTTAAGCAAAAGATCTTGCTTTTCCCATCCATTCATTTATGCTACAATATACTTGCTGGTCTTTGAAAACATTGACAGGAGTTCTTGACAGAGGATATTTTTATATGTGGTTTCTAATTGAGAAGCTAAAGCCCTGATAGAATGAAATCTGGCCGGGGATGTCAAGGCCAATAAGAAAAGCTTTTATAGGTACATCAGTGATCAAAGGAAGACTAGGGAAAACGTGGGACCTCTCCAGAAGGAAACAGGAAACCTGGTTACGCAGGATGTGGAGAAGGCTGAGGTACTCAACGACTTTTTTGCCTCAGTCTTCACCAGCGAGTGTTCAAGCCACACCGGTTTGTAAAAGCCACACCACCCAAGTCAGGAGAAGGCAAAGGCAGGGACTGGGAGAATGAAGAACTGCCCACTGTGGAAGATGATCGGGTTCGAGACCATCTAAGGAACCTTAAGGGGCACAAGTCCATGGGACCTGATGAGATGCATCTGTGGGTCCCGAGGGAACTGGTAGATGAAGTTGCCAAACAGCTATCCATGATATTGGACAAGTTGTGGCACTCTGATGAAGTTCCCGCAGACTGAAAAAGGGGACATAACTCTCCTTTTTAAAAAGGAAAAAAGGAGGACCTGGGGAACTACAGGGCGGTCAGTCTCAGCCTTAAATAACACTTTCTTTTTAGGTGCTTGTCATCCAAAGCTGCAGTACAGAGGACCCGTGATACCATTGGAGATTCTACATGTCTCTGTAAAACATAGTTTAGTGAATGCCAAAATGTTTGCTTTTAGGCCTGCCTATTTCTTAACATCACTCAGAAACTTAACTGCATAATGACAGAGTTATGTGTTTGAGGTGGGAGAGAGCCAGCTTCCAATCCCTGTTTCAGTGAACAAGATTCCAAGATATCAGTGTTGCATAAGTGATATGACTATTTTTAATCAGCTCTTTTTATCTGACAATATAATTGTGTGAAACTTCTACTGTACATTTTGTAGAATAATTTTTAGGATCTAGTACCAAGGATGGCAAATTGGTTTGTTCATCAAAGTCAAATTTATGAATTAAAAAATTAAAATGGCAAAATGTACTTAATGTGGGTAGCACTTTCACACTAAGTAGATGGGGA